GTGCTTCGTCTTCGCGGAAATACATAAGTATTGGTGCCCCTTTTTTCAAATGGAAAACACTGATGGAGCCTGAGTGGTTCATCAATGTCAAAGGTGGAGGCATTCTTTGCAAAATTCTTCCATCTGTGAATAAATTGTTTTGCGCGCAAGACCGGCTGGAAATGCTTTGTGAGGAAGAATTTCCAATAACTGGAAAAGATCTTCCATCGTCCAGGAGGGAAGGGTCATCTTGTGTACTGCTTAAATGATATCGGAATTCCTTCTACGCTCGCATTTGTTGATGCTCCAGTAATGTGATGCTTTCCATGTGCATATATAATCCAGACACGCCAAACAAGTAACAGGAATTGAAATCAGACATAAGTTATGTGCTGGAAGGTTCAGTAAGGAACTAAACCCATTAGGATTATAAAGAAATCTATATATTCGTGTAGACGAAGTCGTGCATGTTTTCTTTTTAAGGTTATAGAGGACAGACAATCACAAACGAGTTTCCCTTTCCATTTGCAAGGAAGAAAAATTAAATCACACTTGCATATTGATCCCACCACTCGGGGCCGTAAATCACACGTCCTGCCACACAAATATTATTCTTCTCCTGAGCAAACCTTTGTCGCCACTCGGGAAAATTCTCACTGTCTAGCCGGTTATCTCAAACATCATCCTGATCTCTGCGTATATCTAAAAATACTTTGTTAAATTAAGTTAGGGTGAAGGCTAACGGGATGCATTCACTGGAATATTGAGGTAGCAGTAGAGGGATCCAGGGGAAATAAACACATGTAGAACAATCTTTTATTGGGCAACGTTTCGCTCTGTATAGAGCTTTAAGAAGTCACAGAGCGAAACGTTGTTCCACTAAAAAGTATGTTCTGCAACGTGTCTCTCCTCTACAGTCGGCAGAATACGTTCAGATAGAACCTCCTATGATGTGAGTTAGGTAAGAGAACACTGCTAATTAAGTTGCTCTACAGAACTCAGTACAAGTCCAACATTCTTCTCGGGCATTGTTATAATTATTATCTGAAATATTTGTAAATAAATTCGCAATGATCGTAGGAATAATAAGAAATGGACTGAGTCGCGTCACGGCAGAGGAAAGTTTAATTTCTTCTTCTTCCGGATTGTAAGATCAGTCGATGGAAGAGTAAGATGCAGCACAACTCTCTCTCTCTCTCTCCTCTCTCTCTCTCTCTCTCTCTCTCTCTCTCTTAAACCGTAAAAGCAATAACTGTGAGACAGCCAAGGTAAAGATAAAATATACAGTCTGTAGAGAGGCCAAACTTTTACTGACACAAAAGCCATAAGAGACGCGGTTCTCTCTTCAGCATCGAGACTCACCAGGAGAGGGTTATTACCGTGAGAGAGGGTCACCAAAAGAGGAGTCATCACCGTGAGAGAGGGGTCACCAGGAGAGGGTCATCACCGTGAGAGAGGGATCACCAAGAGAGGGTCAGTACCGTGAGAGAGGGTCACCAAGAGAGGGTCATTGCCGTGAGAGAGGGGTCAACAAGAGAGGGTCACCCTCATAAAAGGGGTGACCACCCTAACAGAGGGTCACCAAGAGAGGTCATTACCGTGAGAGAGGGGTCACCAAGAGAGGGTCATTACCTTGAGAGAGGGGTCACCAAGAGAGGGTCACCCTCATAAAAGGTGTGACCACCCTCAGAAAGGATCACCACCCTGAGAGAGAGGTCAACACCCTGAGAGAGAGGTCACCACCCTGAGAGAGGGTCAGGTTGTAAACATCGATATCAAGACATAAACTTGCCGTAGTCAATACGAAACCACGAACCAAGGAAAGATACAGAAGCGACTGTTAAGTAAAAAGGAAAGAAATGAAAGCAACTGCTTAGGAGTGGTGAAAGAGTGCAGATGCAAGATATCTGGAGGAGACCCACCTTAATATACCAGTCTTTTGTTAAGAGATGATTCAGTGTTGCACACAGTAACCAGTTAAGAATTGCTTTGAATCATCGTACACTTAATCTCTGCCGTCGACCATTTTCGTGTTTTCTGTTTCTGGTAACATTTTCGCCAGAAGCAAGGGATTATCACAGTCACCTGCTAACATTATCGCCAGAAGCAAGGGATTAGCACAGTCACCTGCTAACATCGTCGCCAGGAGCAAGGGATTAGCACAGTCACCTGCTAACATTGTCGCCAGGAGCAAGGGATTATCACAGTCACCTGCTAACATTATCGCCAGAAGCAAGGGATTAGCACAGTCACCTGCTAACATCGTCGCCAGGAGCAAGGGATTAGCACAGTCACCTGCTAACATTGTCGCCAGGAGCAAGGGATTAGCACAGTCACCTGCTAACATTATCACCAGGAGCAAGGGATTAGCACAGTCACCTGCTAACATTGTCGCCAAGAGCAAGGGATTATCACAGTCACCTGCTAACATTGTCGCCAGGAGCAAGGGATTATCACAGTCACCTGCTAACATTGTCGCCAGGAGCAAGGGATTATCACAGTCACCTGCTAACATTGTCGCCAGGAGCAAGGGATTAGCACAGTCACCTGCTAACATTGTCGCCAGGAGCAAGGGATTAGCACAGTCACCTGCTAACATTGTCGCCAGGAGCAAGGGATTAGCACAGTCACCTGCTAACATTGTCGCCAGGAGCAAGGGATTAGCACAGTCACCTGCTAACATTGTCGCCAGGAGCAAGGGATTAGCACAGTCACCTGCTAACATTGTCGCCAGGAGCAAGGGATTAGCACAGTCACCTGCTAACATTGTCGCCAGGAGCAAGGGATTATCACAATCACCTGCTAACATTGTCGCCAGGAGCAAGGGATTATCACAATCACCTGCTAACATTGTCGCCAGGAGCAAGGGATTATCACAATCACCTGCTAACATTGTCGCCAGGAGCAAGGGATTATCACAATCACCTGCTAACATTGTCGCCAGGAGCAAGGGATTATCACAATCACCTGCTAACATTGTCGCCAGGAGCAAGGGATTATCACAATCACCTGCTAACATTGTCGCAGGAGCAAGGGATTATCACATCACCTGCTAACATTGTCGCCAGGAGCAAGGGATTATCACAATCACCTGCTAACATTGTCGCCAGGAGCAAGGGATTATCACAATCACCTGCTAACATTGTCGCCAGGAGCAAGGGATTATCACAATCACCTGCTAACATTGTCGCCAGGAGCAAGGGATTATCACAATCACCTGCTAACATTGTCGCCAGGAGCAAGGGATTATCACAATCACCTGCTAACATTGTCGCCAGGAGCAAGGGATTATCACAATCACATCTTTAAAAATAGAGCATCTGTTATGAAATGAATACTACTGATTGTGTTCCATCTTTCGGTCACTAACTTGGTATGAAGCACCCGATGCGTTAGAAATAATAACGATACTGTAGTAATTTTTGACTTGTAGAATGAGACACTTATGCAACACATGGGAATCTTTGTCGAGAAAAAGTTTCGCCACACATTGGCTTCATTAGTCCAGTACAAAGAAGAACGGTGTAAAGAGAGCAATAGTAGTTTGAGGTAATCAGTCCCTCAGCCTGGAATCGATGTATTCAGCCCATCAGTTTTGAAGAAAGTGCAGCATAATAGTGGGAGAAGTGGTTTATATACAGTAGTCAGGTAAGTGGAAGCAGGAGGAGGCGGGATCACAGTGGAACCATCCACTAGTGAAAGTAGGTCTTCGTCCAGAGGTTGAACAAGTGCTGACGAATTCTTTGTATCAAGATCCAATGATGTTACAGTGTCTGACAGATGTCATAAATGTTTTTTGGCTAAATGGGCTGATTCTGTTTGATTTCCGGTATCAACATATGCATATCTTAATATGCAATAAAAATTACAGTAAATAGTTGATGTCACAATATGTGAAATAACCACAGCTGAAAAATAGTGAAATTCCAAGCGCTTTTGTGATTTCTTACATTCTCAGTTTGAGAAATCACAAAATTCACCATTTTTTACTGTGGTTATTTTGCACATATTAATATATTAAAAGTTAGCACACGGAACATAATCTCACCATCATAATATAAGACTTACTTATCGCAGACAGATAATAGGCCTACTGAATAGACCTATTCAGTAGGCTTATTAAGTAATAAAAATCCTTTTTTTTAACTTCTCAGATAAAAAGTTCACACGACTTCGCCATTTCTCAGTGTTACGAACTTTATAATGAGGTTAACTTTTCACGGATCATCATAAGTTCTCGATCTTATTTTTCAGATCCTCACTCTGCCTGTATATTCCCACATTTCCTACTCATTTTCTACACACGTGAAAAGTTTGGTCACCAAGATTAATATCTTATTTCATAGTGTTCATTCTGCCTACGTATTACTATTTTGTAACTTACTAAACTTTATACTTTTAATGCCCATCACTTCAGTTATGTGGAAAAATGGACACTAATGCAGTATAATGTGATCTTTTATCTCCAACGACAATTCTGTATTCAGTATGAGTCTAGTCTTATCTGCCTGCGATAAGTAAGGCTTACATTATGATGTTGTGCTTCGTGTGCTGTCTTCACTTAATCATCTAGGGACTTGTTTCCACCAGTCTTCGTGGCACACAAGACGAAACCTTTAAACAGAACACAAATTCCTCTGCTAGAAACTGTTACGAAAGCTACTGAACTATGAACTATATTTTGACATTAAAGTGAGAACTAATGAATAAAAGACCAAGCTAACCAGGTCTAGTTGCACTCCAAATTCCGGAACAGTTTGCGACTTGTATGCCTAAGTCAGAAATGTTGTCACCAATGAGCATGTGCCAGAACACTTTTTAATTTTGTCATAAAGCCTTTTCAAACTTCTTTTCACTTATATTTTTGAGCAAAGCTTTCATTTTAAATAACCTTAGCTATTAATTATTGTTCATAAAAAAATCACAAAAACTGAAACGTATGGTTGAGCAATTAGTTACGTTTGTATTATTTATCAATATACTATTATGCTGCTGTTTGAACATTCTGTTTTTTCTTGCAGGCGTTGTGGATCGACAGACGGTAGTGAAGGACTTGGAGAACACTATCTCCAGTCTCTTCACCTACCTTACATCAAACTCTCCAGTGCCACAGCAGTTCACAGCATCGGGAGATTTTCGGCTCAATTCAGATGACGAAACACGACTATCACGAGAACTAACACCCGCTGAATCAGTGGGATCCGTCTCTCGCGAAGTGGTTTACCCTGTGGCATTCCGTCCAGTGTCAGAGGCGGACTCGACCTCAAGAAGTCATCTCATAACTCCTCAAGGGGCTTTCCACACCCTCTCTGAAACAGGTCTTCCCCCTCCAGTCCCTAGACGAGGTCCACCGAGAGATTCTCCCTCCAACTTTGACTTGTTCTCTACTTCAAGTACAAGATACTCTCCAGCAACTCGCTGTTCCATCCTCAGTAAAGCCTCGCCATCGCCCTCAAGATGGTTCACTGAATCTCCATTTGGTTTAAGAGACAGAAAATCTTTAATGAGCTCAGTTAATTCTAAAGGATCAAGTGACATAGAACTCGTTAATCTTTTCAGAAGTGAAAATGTCAATGATGCATTATCGCGCTCTTTTTGTAGTTCTAATGAGAAAATAAGAACCTTAGACTATGAAAGCAGACTCGCCAAAACATCAGAATTAGAATCTGTGCCGAGTGTTTTTACCTCTTCTCCAGGTAAAAACAGACACTACGAAGCCAGGAGACTTGGTGTTCATCTCTCCAGTGATCCCTCATTAAATTTTAGCGTAAAATCAACTTCCACGGGGAAAAGGTTTTTAAGCAGCCCGCATGAATCAACCTTAAGAAGAACTCCAGAACAATACCAAACGAATAGCGAAACTCAGCTAGATGTTAGGTTAGCAGAGATAAGAGAACCGACCTGTCGGGATCTACCGCAACACACACGATCATCTCCCGCTGCTCGTGTGTCTGTCCAGTCCTTACCTTTAAGATCTCACGACAGAGTGAGAAACCCTGACCACCACTACTCTGAGATTGACCTTTATGAACCTGATCAAAACAATGACAGCGCAGCATCGCCAAATACAACTACTACACCGCTTTCAGCGCCTCCTCCTGTACCTCCTCATGGTGAAGGTAAGTCCTCACGCAACACTGTTAAATACATTCTGGACACATTGTACTGTACTCTGTGTGTAGTGTTAAACATCCTGAGGGGTCAGTCAGCTAGATACTCCGGCCTCCGTGTGTTAATAGTGTGCCAGAAAAACTATCTTCATGTACTAACTTTATATACCAAATTAATTCTGGGAATTTAAGAGTATATACTGCAGAGGATAAAGGTAAGTGGTAAACCAGTAATATATTAACATTGTGCTAACAATAACTAATTCACAAAAATGAAAGGAAGAGTGAATTACACCTCGCATCTCTACTTCTCCAACGTCTAAAACATCAGTGCAACTAATGTGACATTTTATTGTGGCAACGTTTCGCTCTCCAGGAGCTTTATCAAGCCATTACCGTAATGGCTTGATAAAGCTCCTGGAGAGCGAAACGTTGCCACAATAAAATGTCACATTAGTTGCACTTGTGTCCTTTTACTTTACATATTGTCGGTAATTCTACCAACTTTATTACAGTGTAAAACATCACCAAAGTACAAATCTCATTTCGCCCCTCAGACACATGTCCTTTCCAAACATTTTCCTTTTCCTGTCTTTGGTCCAGGTCCTTTACCTCGTATCTGTTATTCCCCCTTCGTACAGTTCCTTAATCTCCTGTTCCCTCATAATTGTCCCCGACATAATTGTCCAGAACCGGTATTGTAAAAAAAAATTATGTTCTTCACTTTGGTAAATCATTGGCGTAGTAACACTGAATTTATATGACCTATAGAAAGTCCCTCCCAATTATTGGAAATCTAAAAAGTCGGAGATTGAATATATGAGCCGTAGGGCCAAAGTTTTGGAGCTCAGTGGAGCGTCATCACCAAGAAGAGAAGCTCAAAACCTTCCTCATAATTATATTACTCTTTCCACCTAAATTTCACTTTTTTTTTTTTTTTCATACCGTTCCCTCGGTCATTTTTTTTTCCACATTGATTTCCTTTTTATTTTCTTTTTCAAAATTGTTTTCCTCGGTCATGTTTTTTTTTCCACATCGTTTCCCCTCGGTCATGTTTTTTTTTCCACATCGTTTCCCCTCGGTCATGTTTTTTTTCCACATCGTTTCCCCTCAGTCATGTTTTTTTTTCACATTGTTTCCCCTCAGTCATGTTTTTTTTCCACATCGTTTCCCCTCGGTCATGTTTTTTTTCCACATCGTTTCCCCTCGGTCATGTTTTTTTTTTCACATTGTTTCCCCTCAGTCATGTTTTTTTTTCACATTGTTTCCCCTCAGTCATGTTTTTTTTTCACATTGTTTCCCTCAGTCATGTTTTTTTTCACATTGCTTCCCCCAGTCATGTTTTTTTGTCACATTCTCTCAGTCATGGTTTTTTCCACATTATTTCCCCTCGGTCATGTTTTTTCCACATTATTTCCCCTCGGTCATGTTTTTTCCACATTATTTCCCCTCGGTCATGTTTTTTTTCACATTATTTCCCCCGGTCATGTTTTTTCCACATCATTTCCCCTCGGTCATGTTTTTTCCACATCATTTCCCCTCGGTCATGTTTTTTCCACATCATTTCCCCTCGGTCATGTTTTTTCCACAATGTTTCCCGTCGGTCATGTTAATTATAAAGAGAGACACCTATGCAAAATATAGTACATAATTTCAGTTAACCAGATATAATGTATAATTCCCGTCAACCGGACATAATGTGTGACGAAGACTCACGTACAACGAGGCCCACATCCGTTATAGGAAAGAGGATCTAAATTGACGGCTAGATATATAACTCCCGGTCCATCCCTTCCCCCCCCCCCTCTCAGTGTTCCTGTGTCCATATGGGTTTATGTAAACCATCTTATGGTAATTGCTGTAGTCAACACTACAGGTCTTCTTGAAGCAAGTGTGTAGCTCTTACTGTAAATGCAACGAGTTTACTTTAAATCACCATTTCAGGGATAAGACCATAACTGATGGAAGTGCACCTGTGTATTGCAGCCACGTGCAGTCGTGAGGCTTTGAACTTAACAACTACCTTAAATTTTACTCTGTGGTAGAGGCTTATGTACAGGCGTAATGGAAACAGACCACAGGGACCACTTATAAATCGTAATGATCCTGCCAGAGGTAATTGCTTCAACTCGATAACCAACTAATTTCGTAGTTGGAGCAGAAAGTTTGCAGGTATTGTTGTCCCAGGGGCTGTTAACTAATTTAGCTCACTTCCCTCCTCACCACCATTAATATCAATCGGGCGTCGAAGCAGCAGCCTCCCTGGAGTTTGTGAAGTTAGTGAGGTGTTGGAGGTAGTGGTGCAGGTGGGGTGTTGGAAGTAGTGTTGGAGGTGGGGCGTTGGTGGTAGTAGTTAGAGGTGAAAGTGCTGCTGGTAGTATTGGAAGCATGATGTTGGAACTGAGGTGTTGGTGGTAGTGTTATAGAGGCAAGATGTTGGAATTGAGGTGGTGGTGGTGGTAGTGGTGGTAGTGTTACAGATGCAAGATGTTGGATCTGAGGTGTTGGTGGTAATATTAGGGACAGGGTGTTGGAACTGAGGTGTTGGTTTTGGTACCGGAGAAGTGCTGGTGGAGGTAGGGTGTTGGAGGTGAGGTGTTGGTAATACTGGAGGTAGTGAAGTGTTGGTTGTATTGAAGGTGAGATTTATCCTCCGTTACGAAATATATCAGAGTTTTCTTTAACAAGTTCAATGTGTCCTCCGTAAGAGAGATCAGTGAGGGAAGCGAGTATAAACGCTTCCTGGTAATCATAAACCCTTTAAGTTACACGAGTTTTCCTAAAGATTCATGAACCTACCATCCCTCTTAAGACCCTTGACCTTACGCACTGGGAACCCTCACGGGCTTACTCACCAGGCACCTACTTGAATTATAAGGTGCACGCGACATCAAAGTTAAAAGTACGGACCTTGTCATTTTTCACCTAAATGCTGTTTATCAACGTAGCCACAACTCAGGCCTCGCCTTGCTGCCACACAAATTCTCAGACAACATAACTTCTTCATTCCCAGCATCAGTTTCGTGAACTTAGTAGAATTATGTTTTAATTTCAACTATTTCATATCGGTGTTGGCAGCTATCATGGACTCGCCCACCATTGTATTAGCACACTTATACGTGAAACTAAATTTAGAGACTGAGCATTTTACATCCATCATTCCCACTATCAGCTAATGGTTGCAGTACCTGCATGATATATTAGTCATCTATCCTAGAAGATTTAAACATACAGAATTGTTCTATTGATGCAAAACTGGTGGACTTAGTATTAAGTAAGTAAGTAAGTTTATTCATGTATACACAAATACAGTTACATAGAATTATCATACATAGCAGCATATGTGTAGAGAACCTAGGATAACCCAAAAAAGTCAGACAGAGTGACTTATTTCCATTGATGGTAGGAGAACCTGAGTGCGAGAGTAACTTACCTGTCACGACATTAGCGGATGGAGGATCGAACCTCCAACACTTCCTGTCCTGACTGACCTCACACAGTTTTAACGCTTCGTCACTGAAGTATCAGGTGAACCCGGAAACAAGTGACCTCAGTGCCAGTGCCGGAAAAGCGCTAAATTTCCACCCTCCTTGTGAGAGGACAAATAATTTACATGTTCTGTGTTTCGTTCTCTGTTGTGGTTGAAAATTTAAACACGTGGGAAGACAACCGATCTTGCTTGTCAGAACCATATACTTTTATACAGTTCCAGTTTTATTCTTGAATTTGTATTGAAACGTCTACAAATAAAGATACCCAGATGTTGCACATGTGTCTAATTCTTAATCTTGTCGACATTTTATACCAGTCATGTTGGACTACGTGTGGCCAGTAGTAACAGCCTAGTTGATCAGGCCCTGATCCACCAAGAGGCCTGGTCATGGACCGGGCCGCGGGGGCGTTGATCCTCGGAATGACCTCCGGGTAGACTCCAGGTAGACCATATGGATCACTTGTGCTCCATGGTTTATGTATCAGCAACATAAAGCGTGTTGCTGACACATAATACATGTTTCAAACAAGTTTTTAGAATAACAAGGCAAACTAAAACAGCTTAATTTTCCTATCAAACCTCTGCATATATGTATGCGCATCAGATATGCATACGTAACTAATATATTCATTGCTGCATAGCTGTAATATGTGCAAACTTGTGATGACTGTATACACAGTTATAGTAGGTATATACACGTATCTCCATATAGAAACGATGGATTCATGTATACATAGATACCTCTGTAAAATATACATAGATACCTCTGTAAAATATACATAGATACCTCTGTAAAATATACATAGATACCTCTGTAAAATATACATAGATAAAGTACAAACAATTAGCTCTAACCTCCTCCTTTTGACGAGGCTAATTGGACGAAGTCAGTAAATGAAGTTTTAATTAAATACTCTTGAATCATGGAACAATTACTTTCGAGCAAAGAGTGAAGGGAATCCATCATGAGGGAAGTAGACAGGAAGGAGAATAAGCCGTGGATAACATGAGGTAAGATGGATTAGCGTGATGTTCACAATAGCCAACGTGAGAGATTAATTAAGGCAGGATCAAAGCCCTGGCCTGGCTGCACTGGCCCAACTAATCGTTACACATTGACGGCATACTGAAGGTTGCTTCCTGTCTTCCTGTCCTGCCTCTCTCCCACTCCTTCGTCCTGCCCACATGTCCTCCTTACCTTTCTCATGCCTTCTCTCTCTCTCTCTCTCTCTCTCTCTCTCTCTCCTCTCTCTCGTCTCCTCTCTCTCTCTCTCTCTCTTCTCTCATGCCTTCTCTCTCTCTCTCTCTCTTTCTCTTTCAAGACTTTAATAACATGTTTAGGAGCAAAGTAATACAATTGATTGTAGTTTAATTGACATTTATTGACGTATAAATGTATAGCTGTGGGAATTTTCATTTTGATGTGTAAAAAATGCCTCTTTAACAGCTGTGGTCCAAAAGATGTGCCAAGCACAATCCAGGAGCTGTAGAACTCCAAATGCAGCCACCTCCAAGTGCTAAATTCTGGATAATCTGAATGACTGTAGGTTATCAGTCGTCCAGAAGACCTGATAGCTGCTCAAAGTGTACCTACTGTCTTTGTCTGGACAAAATATATCTATGTGGAATCAAATCTGATTCAGTCCCTTTATAAAAGCGCTGTGTGATACATATGGGTCATACATATGACTCACGAAATCGTAATGGCAAAATAATAATGATGTACTGAGTTCAG